TGGAAATTATCCACAGATTGGAACACTATATAGATCAATATCATGTGATTTAAATAATGATACTATTTAGGAAATAAATGATGTAATTATGCAGGGCAAAATATTAGTGATAAAAGTCCAGTTAACATATAATTATGCAGGCAATTGTAATTTTATATTATATTTTAAAACATTGCAATTTAATTAAGGAATAAGGATAAGCATATTATATTTTAAAAATAGTGCAATTTAATTAAGGAATAAGGGGAGTGACACATATCACGTCATTATAGGGTTACAATAAAGCTGACCCCCCTCCCCCCTCGTGAGATTTATTGTCACGTGATCTATTAAATAATATACATTTAACCAATTACTATCATCAATTTGATATCATACCAAATCTTTTTTTTCTTTACTAATTAATGTCAATACAAAATGTAACACTCAACTTTTATGTAAAAATTTTTTTAATCAACGTCAATACAAAATGTAACACTCAACCTTTTAATATGTAAAAATTTTTTAATTTCATAATGTAAAAGTTATTTTTGAAAATTTAGATGAAAATAACGGAAAAATTTCTTATCAATATACCACAAAAAAAATTTATAGTTTTGATACACATGGTACCCCTTGATTTGTGAAAGTTTGATCGTTAAAATTTTCACGTCTGTGAAAAATTTTTACATCTGAGACTTCAACATGCAGGCTTTTTTGACTACACTAAAATATAATAAATTTTACGTTTATAAGACTCCTACAAACCAATACCAAAGGTTCTGTAATGCTTTTGGATATCATCGTATGGTGAATACAAGAAACCCTACATACCCAAAAGTTAGTTTATGTGCAGAATGTAATAATGTATGGAAAGAAATTCGACATAAACCTGAAGATATTGAAAGTAAAATCAGAGAATACTTGGCAACTCCAATTCCAATCCAAGGTTTTATGCGAATTAATCAATCACGGCCCAGTACATCTCAAAATCCAAAGTCTGCTCAAACCAACCAAGTCCTTCAAAGGCTTATTGAAGAGATTATTGTAGCTGACTCTGCTTCGCCTCCTAATACTGCTGCACAGAGAAAGCCGTGGAAACTATTAATACAACCAATATGAAGTTTGCTGAACTTCAACGAATTTATAAGTCTACTAATGACTTGAAGATTCGGAATAATTTGTTGGAGCGTATGGCAACTCTCAAGCAAGTTCTGCATGATGAGGATAACAAGATTAAGAAGTTGAAGCGTCAAGCAGGATATCAACAAAAAAGTAGAGCAAAAAAAGCGAGACTCTTACAAGAGCACCAAGAAGTGATACTATATGATTCACCTGGTCGTCCGCCTTTTTTAACTCAATATCCCAATTTAATTGAGCATATACATGAATGCATTGAGTTCGGAGCTGCAGATAAAAAGAGAAGAAAAGAAATTATTAAAGTTCGAACCATTCGTCATCTTCGAGAGGATCTTAATTTCAAATATAATGAATATTTCTCTCGCACCACCCTCAACAATTACTTGCTACCATCTCGGTCAAATACTAAAGTAGCAAAGTTACATCACCATCCGGCTATTGTTGCAAATGCTTCAGTTTCACAAAGTGAAAGAAACGAGCATATTGATGAACATTATTGTCTTGCATCCGTGAAAAGAGCAAAACAGTTTGCAGCATTATTTTCAACACATTCTGTTATTATTTCACAGGACGATAAAGCCAAGGTTCCTCTTGGTATTCCTGCAGTTGGAAGAACATTTCAAACTTTACAAAGTTTTCAAGAGCCAGTTACACTACCCGATCATGATTTTCCGATCGGTATGCAGCAAAAACTCATCCCATCGGTTTACTTACTAATTAACCCAAGTGATACGAATGATACTTTTCGTAATGGTCAACTTTCGATTTTCATACGTCCACAATATCAAGTTGGCACAAGCTCAGCCACTTATATAATTTATCTTAATTCGCTAACTCAAGACAGTCGTTTTGATGAAATATTGAAAATTGACGGCCATATAAAACCAATTTGGATTATTTTAGTTGATGAAGGTCCGAACGAAAATCCCCGTCATATGAAAAATATATACCAGTATTGTAGAATGTTCTGCGCTTTTGACCTTGATTACCTTTCTATTCGGATGCACGCATCTGGTCAATCATCGTATAACCCTGTTGAGCGTAGTATGGCAACGCTCTCTCAAAAACTTGCCGGCATAACATTACCGATCAACAAATATGGTTCTCACCTTAATTCTTAAGGCCAGGTTAATGATTCAGAACTTGCAATGAAGAATTTTTGCTATGCTGGTGAGGCATTGTGCTCTCTGGGAACGTGATCCTATTTTCGGGAAACCAGTCACTGTGCAATACACTGATCATATAAAAAAAATATAATAAAAAATATAAAAAAAGTTCCCCATTCGATGATATGATATTTCCTGGATCTGAAAAAGAAGGTACTAACGAGTCAGTTGTACCTTGGAAATGGTTAGAAAACCACACTAGAATGTGTCAATATTCACTTGATATTAAGAAATGCGAGGACGCCTCTTGTTGCTCACCTAAGCGTAATAAAGAGGCAGCCATTCTTCTCGCAGAAAATGATGGGTTTCTCCCATCTGTAACAAAAGGAAAAGATGGGCATTTTTTAAACCCAATTCATATATTAGAATACTGTGACAAGCTCAAGATACCTGGATATGACGCCCACTGTCCTTCAATTAATGCAAATACTTATGGTCGTCTCTGTTGTCCTGAATGTAATGCATATTTTCCAACACTTTCTATTGTTGCTCAACATAAGAAAAATCATCATCCAAAACGACGAGGACGACCAGCCAGAAAAAAGAATCCTACCAATTCCATTGACGATTTTTCAGTTGTGCCCGTGTGTGATGTTCGAGTTTTAATAATTAATGACCGGGAAATACAATTAGAGGGCGAATAAAGAAGTTGGATTCTTCGTAATATGTTCTTTCGCGTAAATATTGACAGCTTTGAATTTAGAATTAGACCGGGTAAAAGTTTCTAGAAGGGTGGAAATATTTTGTTTTATTGTATAAAAACACTTTTTAACGTTCTTATTTGCTTTTTTTTGTAGGTACGGGTTTTAACTTTGGAATTGGCGGGTAAGAGGGTAAGAGAGACTATTGAAAGATAATTTTTTGCAGCTTTTTTTTGAATATAAAGCTTGTGTGATATAGTTAAAACAAAGAACAATATTTTTTATGTTCAGTAAAACAAAGAACAATATGTACAATACGTTACACTATTAATAAAACAAAGAAATCACATGAAAAGAATTTTATTGGCAAATAATTATTTTAATTTCAGCTAAAATTACGCTAATTCTATTGGCTATAATCAATATCACGTGATATGTCAGATATTCGTGAATCCCCCCCCCTATAATAATCACGTCATATGTGTCACTCCCCTAAGGATAAGCATATTTTATTAGAATCAATAAGTTTTAAGGACTTTGTTAATTAAATTTATTACATTAGATCAATAAATTTTAAGAACTGCGTTACAAAAAAAAATTTAGAACTGCATTAATTAAATTTATTACATTAGAATCAAAACTGTGTTTATTTTGTTACAAATACTTTAATTATGTAGAATATTATTATATTCATCAGTTCATATTTCAAACATTATAACGAATTTTAAAATTAGTATAAATATTTTGAAATTTGAAGTATATAGGATTTTTTTTCGCAATTCAAAACCAAATTGTATTTTAATTTTCAAATTGTATTTAATTTTCAAGTTACAAAAAAATCATAAAAATAAAAAATGGCAGTATTAGTACCTTTTGTTCCACCGCCACCACCAGCATTTCAATGGACAATTAACGCTGCTAGGCAATTAATCGCTGAGCGAAGAAATATACATCAGCAATTCGAAAGAATTGCAAACTGTCACCATGTAAATACATAGACAATAATAGCAAATAGGATGTTCGCTGCAACTGGATTTGCAGCGACACCCAGGCAATGCTCTACAAAATGGAATGCCCTTAAACGAGGTTATGAAAACCTCAGTAGAATAATAAATAATAATGATGACGACATTCCTATTGTAAGCCCAAATAGTTTTGATAGAGCGTGTTTCGCTGATATGAATGATGAATTTTGGCTACAACCGGTAATTATTATTAATTATTATTTTAAATTAATTTTATTTAAGCAATTCATTCAATTCATTAATATTTTTATTGGATTTTAGATCTGTTTAGACGAGAGTATCGACGGCGGCATACTGCGCATGATCAACATCGATATGAATATAGATTGCAAAGGGAAAGAAGGAGGTTGTGATCTAGGTTTCGATCAAGAAGTAGAGATAGAAGTAGAGATAGAAGACGAGACAGAAGTAGAGATAGAAGACGGGATAAAAGTAGAGATAGAAAAAGAGGTAGAAGCAGGTCCCCACATAAAAGATAAAGATATTAAATTTTAATTTTTATTATATTTTTAATTGTATATTTTATTAGTTTAATATTAAATATTATAAAATAAATATTTACATACAAAAAATTATATTGTCTTTATTCTTATAAATTGTTTAAATGCCGANCTATTCTTGTAACACTAATTTTTGCGCGCAGTATATTAACACAGTACTAACACTAGCTTATCTTGTTTATCAGGTTTGTTTATCTATGTAGCACAAAGAATCAGCCGACGTGACGCGTGCGGACAAACGGACATCGCCACGTGATCCAATATGTCATTAAGGTTCATAAACATATATAGTCCTTCGCTTCGCTCCGGACAATAAGGTCAAGAATAAGCTTGAGGTGAATTGCGCGAACGTTACTCCTGAATCTGATGCTTCCTCGACTCTGGATCATATTTCGCAGGATTTAAGCGAAGATAGCACATTAAAAAAAAAGTGAGTTATGAAGAGCTTGAAAAAATGTTATATAGCACTTTTAAGTATAATGCAGAAATCAATGAGTATTGTGAAAGATTACAGACACTCTATTGTGAACTTCTTAAAGAATAAGCAGGTTATTTTTCTACTATATTCTTAATATTCGCTATAGTTTTTATGTTTCTTTCTACCACCTTCTCATGCGATATGGGGATGGGTTGAGTCTGGACGGGAGATGGTGTTATTTCTGCTAAGGCAGATTTGGACTTCAATTTCTTCCCTCCAGCCTTTTTTGCCTTTTTACCTTCTTCTAAAACTGAATCAATAGATTTGCTAGACTCTATCTTACCATCACGTATTTGTTTTTCCAGTTCTGCAAATGGAGAAACATCTTGGTCTTGGATCTCTGGCTCGGTCCGCCCGCCCACAACATTTATATTAGAAAGCGAAGCTGTTGGCATATGAATTGGTTGATTCCACGCAACCCTATTTTTTTCTTCACCTCTCCAGATCTGATAAATACGTTTTTGTGATGTGTGATATTTATTTGTTAAATCCTTTAAAACTTTATCTCTAGGCTTTTTTTCAGCACATTGCATAATATGATCATAATCGGCTGGTGAAAAAGGAGGGGCGTCACATCTCATGTGTTGTCTGAGCATGGTAGCAATATTTTTTTATATATCTAATATAATACTCTGAAATAATTTATTAAATAGGATATATAGAAAGAATGTATTATTCTGAATATATAGGATATACAGGATATATAGGAAGATAATATTCCGGACATATAGAATATACGGGATATACGAGATAAATAGGATATTTAGAAAAATTGTATTATTCTGATTGTATAGGATAAGTTTATTATCTCGGAAATAAATTCGTACATTTTTTTTTCTAATATATAACCATGCTAATATTATGTCCAATGTGCATACATTGAATGATATAAAAGATAGAGAGGGTGGTTCTTATAAAAAACCTGGTCATAGGCTGGGTAGTGCATATGAGCAAGAGCTCGAAAAAAAATTAAGATCCATTACCGAATTTAACTCTGAGATTAATGATCTCAGCGAAAAGCTGGTAAATAAGTACAATGAGCGAGAAAAGGAGTTTGAAAATAAAGCTAGCCAGTTAATTGCATCTACTACTAAAGTTAGATCCCAACTTATTTCTGAACGAAAGTCTCATCTCGAGAGTCAACATGAGCTTGAAGCCAAATATACTGCCGAAATCAAATCGCTCAAATCTAATATTAAAACACTAAAGAGAGAAGCAACTTTGACCCAGAAAGCTTCGTCCGCTGATAAGGTCCAGATTCTTTCTCTTGAAACTAAAGTACGTGAATTGGAAGGTAAGTTGGATGACTTGGAGCTAGATCAGGTGCTCCACGATTCAAATGTAGTAGGAGGACTAATAGATGAGCCGGCCCAAATAAACTCATCTGATCCTAAAGAGATCGATTCTCTTAGGCTTGAATTGGAGCAAGTGAGGGGTGATTTATCCTCAAAAAAATACGAAATAGAATGTATGGAAAAGGGAATAGAGTCCTCAAAAAACATATACAATCAGATGATAGATTCTTTATTTTTAACGCGGTCAAATTTAATAGAGGCAAATAGGTCCCTTAGGGAGCAGTTAGCGTTAAAGAAAAATAATGAAGTAGATCGTCCACCCCCGCCTATAAACAATTTATCTCAACTTGGTTCTGAAGAGACTCTTCCCAATCTTGGCCCGACAATTTCTGTAGGTGGCGCAGAAGCAGTATCATTGTCCCAAGAAATGCCTCTAGCGGGTCCCTCTAAAACCGCACCAGTCGTTAAAAGTTCCTTAATGCCATATGCCATACTTGTTTTACTACTGATTGTAGTTATATGGTTCGTGGTCAGGAAATGGTAGAATTCAAGGAAAAAAAGTAATACCGAGTATTCTCCTAACCAGAACTATTTTTATCGTCTCCGGGTATTTCCAACGCTGGGCTGTATGATCGGAGGCCAGAAGTTCGAAGATAGAAATTGAAGTTAGCCAGTATTATTGCACGAGAAAAAATATGTAAATAATATTATGCGAAGCGCCTTAACGCCTAAGTTTCTTAGCTGAAATTGCCACATCCCGCTAAGAGTACTTATCCATATAATTCGATAATCTCGTCTATATCTGATTCGGATGAATCATCTTTTTTGCTATCCTGTAATTTCGACAATGTTCGGTAGTGTGTGATTTCTAGGCCAACCACTTTGTACCATATGTTTCGGAAATCTGCTAGTAGCTTACACTCATCCAAATAATATGATGTTAAATATTGTTCTAAGGACATTGCTCGCTTCTTAGTAACTAATTTATACATACTTTCTCTATACTCTATATCAACCTCGGAAATTTCTTTAAGCAATGATGAAAGTTTTAGGCGGATGGATTCTTCTTGCTTATTCAGCGCATTGATGAAAGGTTGGCAATAAGCACTGTTAGTCAGGCATTCTCCCTTGTCGGCATAAGTAGTATCAAATAATTTTTTCGCGTAAATGCGTGCTCCTTCCCATAAATGAGATATGATAGTTTTATCTTTTTTCGGACCATCATGTAGGCTTTTGATATACCCCCTAACCCACTTTTCAGCTAATTTTTGCGCTAAGGCATCTCTTATTTTTGATACCTCATCTTCGTCTATTTCGTCTTCATCCATTTCATCTTCGTCCAGGTCGTCTTCATCCACCCCACCGTCATCTGCTTTATTACCACCCGCTTTATTGCCATCTTTTAACTTTTTTAAGGCCTCCAGCACAATTTCAGATGATGGCTGGTGTATATCATCATAGTTTATAAATCGCGCACAGAGGCCAACAACAGTTTTCAGATAATAGCTGATATCGATCTTTTTACCTAATCGCCTCACTACCTCTGGATACTCCATTTTATCTCCGATCTTATCTGACGAACCATTCTCAACTACAATATACTCAAAGCGTTCACCTGGTTCTGGGATTTCATAAAGATAAGGCTCGGGTGTTAGGCCCTTTTTTATGCACCGTTTGGCATCCGCTTCTTCACGGGTATGTCTATCCTGCATTCGTGAAATGAAACGCTGGACACTCTTGTTATTTTTATCGGGCTTCCACACAGCAGTTTTAATCACTCCATTAAGATGTATCTGCGAAATATCATTTATGGTCTCTTTGAGCACGTCCTTCACAATCTGACGCAAGGTGCGTGTATTATCCAGCCTCATAGATTCATCCATGACCTTCTTACCCACCTCACGAAAGTGTTTAGACTGTCCCCGCTTTACAATCTCAACCCCTCGAATAAAAAGCTTATTATTAAAGTTGGGCTTACTTCTATGTGGGATGCCGTAGTATTTTTTCTTTCCAGTAAATACTACCGGAAATAAGACTTCTCATATGCCATTTTGAAATAAGGGGATCCGTTATCTTCCCTGAGAAAGTCATTAACTTCGCCTCGGAGTTCACTCATTGCTTCCATAGATATTCTCACCATCTCCTCCCAGTACTCTTCCTTCGATATCTTTTCTGAAATGTATTTCTCATCACACTCCCGGAAATACCCTTCTGGACAAACAAGGTATAATGAATCAGTGTCCCCATATTTTACACCGAACCCTTTACTTCTGACAAGGTCGGCAATAAGCTTGATATTCCGCTGACCAGCTGATGTCACCCCGCCTGCTAATGCTCGCAAGAAGAAAGGGGATCCACTATTCCCGGCTTCACCGTAAAACGTATTCATATACACTTTTAAAGCGAGTTGTCCTGCGTCTAGACAGGCGACATTAAAGGAAACTGAAGAGTATTCAGATTTTAAAGCATCTGTAACGTCCTCGCCCCTTGCTTCCGCCAAACTAATCTCCTTTTCTAATTCTTCTTTTTTATCATTTAATGGAGCAAGACAGCTTTTTACTGAATTTCGTCTAATAAGCAACTCCTCTAATACTTTTGGATAAAGGCCTTTCATTTCGGCTTGGTTTTCATGCTCTATAGACCATGCGAGAAAATCGTGACCATTGAATTAGAAATTAATTTCATGAAGCTTTTTACCGCTCTCCTTTAGAGATTCGGCAAACACTCGAGATAAAATGATTTTATCAGGTGAGAGATTGTATGTCATGATAAGGCTTGGATACAATGATGCAAAGTCTAAGCCGGTTACAGGTCGTCTATTTTCGAGACCCTTTACCGGTGGGAAAACATAGGCTCCAGGGTACTTCCCTGTTTCCGTTTGTTCACATGGAATGGTGCTAGTTAAAATCCTTTCTTGCCACGCACTGGCACTTAAAAGATTACGCACTTTCATTCCTATTGCAAAATAATGTGAATCGTATAATGATATGAAGGCTACGGATGCCATCTCCCTATACTCGTTAATTGCATTACGCTTTACCATTAACCGCTGACAGCTAATAGCATCAATAATACAATATTCGGCTACTTCGCGCATCTGCTCGGCCGTTGTAGCATTGGTTTCTTTTAATGCCCTTCCATAATACTTAAACATACGATGGAAAGGCATATCCAGCTTGTTATCGAGCTCACACTCCTTTAGGTAATATGCTAAACTGCTCTTTTCGGCCTTAGGATAGAATTTCATAAAACATGGTCGGGCATCAATAGCTACACACCCAGGGATTTTAAGATGCTTCGAATAGAAATTCCTATCATTAACCTTTATACTATTATATTGGTATTGCCATTTTTCGATTTTTTCGAGACTTGATGGTTTGATTGACATACGATTAAACATCCATTCAAGAATTCCTAATTTCTTAGCTTTCTCCACAATAAATTTCCAGTCGTATTGAGAATCGTTAAAACCTATTTGTATGTCCGGGGCTAGTAGTTCCCAACATAATGCGAAGGCTTTTAACAGATTTACTTGATTCCCACATATAATTGTGATCCAGCGCAGGTTTGGTGCCGTCTCAACATCAACAAGACATATTTGTTTTAATGGATTGGGGTCATCTTTCCAATGGACTGACATGCAAATCATAAATACGTTGGATTCATCACTCTGTGGAGTGGGAAAGTTGCCTAGCCCAAGCGAACTATATGTTTCTATGTCCCACGTAAGAACAAGGGTGCGATCCCGTGAAAGGGCCGAAGAAAATAATGGATTATTATAATCGTCCTCACTTGTTGGATTGTAATTATTCACAGAAACTTGGAAGAGATAAGTACCCCCTTGAATGTATTTGTGGAGATAATTACTTAATACTGCTGTTACCCCTAGTCACGTGTAGAGTTACAACTTACTGCGCCAGAAGATCATGTGGAAAATTAGGATCTACTGTGCCCAACTGTGCCAAGCCGACCTAGTCGCAGCCTACTTAGCCTATTATTTCTATTATATTTATTATATTAATTATATTTAATATAATCGATATAATTATTTTATTTATTATATTTAATTTATTAGTTATATTTATTATATTAGTTATATTTCTTATATTTATTATATCTATTATATTTATTATATCTNTGTTCGCTGCAACTGGATTTGCAGCGACACCCAGGCAATGCTCTACAAAATGGAATGCCCTTAAACGAGGTTATGAAAACCTCAGTAGAATAATAAATAATAATGATGACGACATTCCTATTGTAAGCCCAAATAGTTTTGATAGAGCGTGTTTCGCTGATATGAATGATGAATTTTGGCTACAACCGGTAATTATTATTAATTATTATTTTAAATTAATTTTATTTAAGCAATTCATTCAATTCATTAATATTTTTATTGGATTTTAGATCTGTTTAGACGAGAGTATCGACGGCGGCATACTGCGCATGATCAACATCGATATGAATATAGATTGCAAAGGGAAAGAAGGAGGTTGTGATCTAGGTTTCGATCAAGAAGTAGAGATAGAAGTAGAGATAGAAGACGAGACAGAAGTAGAGATAGAAGACGGGATAAAAGTAGAGATAGAAAAAGAGGTAGAAGCAGGTCCCCACATAAAAGATAAAGATATTAAATTTTAATTTTTATTATATTTTTAATTGTATATTTTATTAGTTTAATATTAAATATTATAAAATAAATATTTACATACAAAAAATTATATTGTCTTTATTCTTATAAATTGTTTAAATGCCGAAACTCTAATTAAATCATATAGAAAGTATTGCCGAAATGCTGAAACAGTTTCGGCAAGTTATGGCAATTTCGCGATTTTGATAGGTTTTGCAGTTTCGGCATTTCTTGATAATTTTGTGAAACTAGTTTTGGCAGTTTTGTATACGCCATTCTGCTGAAACCCTCTAGTTTCAGCAAGCAACCTTAGTCATAATGGACTTTTGGCCAAAAACACCCCTTTTTGCTAAAACTCAAAAAATCGTTTTTTGTAAATATCTCAGTATCCAGTGATTCAATTTTAATGAACTTTTTTTTATTTTGTAGCCCTCATTTAGCTCTACAATTTAAAAAAAGTTCACAAAATTGGACTACTGGATACCGAGATATTTACAAAAAACGATTTTTTGAACCCCTGAAAAATGGGCCAATCTGCCGATAGTGTGACTTATGACCTGTTTTGGAGATATCTGGGGTCCTATTGTAATTGTCACAAAAATGAGTAGTACAATATAGATAAAATATGGTTAAATTCAAAAAACACATGTGGTACTATTTTTTTTTATTATGATTTTATGTATTTATTTAATAAAATTATATTTAATGTTAATTAAAATTAGAATGCAAAAATCCTATGCTTTTTTGTGAAATTAATCAAAATAATTGGATCTCTGATAAGTTACATTTTATGCTACAGTTTTCTGATATGCTTTTTCAATATTTATTTTATGAACTTGTCAAACAAAAGGAATTTACAAATAAAACACAAGCTTTAATAATTGAAGAAATGAAGAAGTTTCATGTTTATTTTGAATTTTATTTTTCATTCATAAAAAATGAAAAATGGGATTGGATATCACTTATGGGTTCTGATAAAAAAAAAATATTAAAGGATTTTTAGGTGGCAAATCTTTTTAAAGAACAACAAGCTGCAAGAGGATAAAATATTGAAAAACTTTTGCATGAATTTTATCAGCTTTATAAAATAATGTGCCAAAAATTAATAATAAATAAAGAAATTAAGTTAATGCAAAACTAGTGTTTTAAAAGGGTCAGGTCAAATCCAGATTATTTAACCCGATTTGTATTTAAAATCTGAATCAGATTTATCATTATTTGACATGAATTCTATATTCAACCCAACCTATCAAGTCAGGATCATACTTTTGCTTGTCCCAGATTGTCCCAAGTTGTCTTGAGTCTAATTAAATATTTTGATAATCTTAGATTTAAATTGTTTACATTACGTGATTTTAATTTCTAACTTTATTTGTGATTTGTATATAAAAATGAGTGAAGCTAAGGAAATAACTCTTGGAAATTGACCTTCTTTAAGAAATGAACTTTTTACTAGAGAACTTTTTGAAGAAAAAGAACTTTCACAAGAATACAAAAATGCAAAAACTCATCAAATGGTTAAGTGCTTAAACTGCCTGTAAGTATTTTTATTTCCTTTAGAAAAATAACAAATATTTGCTTAAATATTCATATTTTATAAAAAAATTAAATATAAATTTAATCTTATAAAATATTAAAGATAAAACATGACTTCACAAAATTGGTGATTCTAATACATCAAATTTTTGGCGTCATTTAGAATGTAATTATCCAGATAAAAATCCAAAAAAAACAAAGAATTTAATAGTTAAAATCTAAAGTACATTAGACGAATTTGTAAATCATACAACATTTCCATCTAAAGTATGTTAATAAATAATACATAAAATGGAAAGATATAAATACTAAAAATAATTTATTTTTTTAGTTTATACAAAAAGATTTTTGTGAGTTTGTTACTAAATGAGTGATTGATGATGATCAACTATTTATAACATTAGAAAATAAATATTTTCAAAAAATAATAAATATATTAAATTTGGATACGCTAGTTTCATCAGCAGATATAATAAAAAATGATATATTAGAAAGTTTTAAGGTAAAACAAAAAAAAATGAGTAAATTGTTTCAGGTAATTTTAAATATATGCATAAAATGATTTTTTAAAAATGATTTTTTATTTTATTAAACAATTTAATTTTATTTAATAGAGTGTACCAGGAAGAATTTCTTTTGCACTAGATTCATGAACATCAATAAATAGTTATTCCTTTTTAGCTATAACGATACATTGGATTACTAAAGATTGGAGACTTCAGGATAAATTGCTAGATTTTATAGATCTTTCTGGTCCTCATTCTGTTAAGAACCTCTGTAATACTTTCATAAAAAGTTGTCATAAATTTGGAATTTTAGCAAAGGTAAATAATAAAATGATTTTATATTTATACAAACTTGAAATATAACTAATAAATTATTATAACTTTAACAGATTTTAGCAGTTACTAGTGATAATGCATCAAATAATCTTACTTTTATAAAGTATTTAAAAAATATTTGTCAAAAGGAAAATATTTCATTTGATACTATCAATTCCCATTGCCGATGCCTCACTTATATAATAAATTTAGTTGTACAAGAAATTTAAAGCAAGTTAAAGCCAGTGAAGGACCAATTGAAGATGATATTATGGATAACATAGATTCAACTATAAATACTGAAGAAATAATTCCCAAAATAGGTTAATTTTTCATATTTTTTAAATAATTAAATTATTATAATATTAATATATATCATAATTATTTAGCTTTGTAAGCTTAAAGTAAAAGTAAAATTATCACTACAATGCCAAGAAAAGTTTGCATGCCATGCTGAAGCTGCTAATCTTAAAGATCTTAGCCTTATCTTGAACATTAGAACGTGATGGAATTCTACATTTGATATGCTTAACCGTTGTTACCCCTAGTCACGTGTAGAGTTACAACTTACTGCGCCAGAAGATCATGTGGAAAATTAGGATCTACTGTGCCCAACTGTGCCAAGCCGACCTAGCCGCAGCCTACTTAGCCTATTATTTCTATTATATTTATTATATTAATTATATTTAATATAATCGATATAATTATTTTATTTATTATATTTAATTTATTAGTTATATTTATTATATTAGTTATATTTCTTATATTTATTATATCTATTATATTTATTATATCTTTATATGTAGTAACTTTTATATAAATAACGTTGGTATTTTCCTTCGTTATGGGGGAAGTTCCTTCAGTTCGAATTAGTTAACCTTAGTTCCTATTAGTTCTTATTCTTGTAATTATAAAGTTCTATAATAAAGTATAACCTTTTACACTATAAACGAACTCCCTATTTTAAGCGTGTCTTGTTTGATTGGATTTCAGTCATAGTTAAACGTACTTAATCTCCCTGACTGCAAATCATAGTTAATCTATTCAACGTACCGAATCGGTTAACAAGTGGTGATTCCTGCCAGGTAAAAGGCTATACTGTGAATTAACAATTGATTTCTTTTCTCAGACGAACTTGAGAATACTTGCAGACGNGATGAATCATCTTTTTTGCTATCCTGTAATTTCGACAATATTCGGTAGCGTGTGATTTCTAGGCCAACCACTTTGTACCATATGTTTCGGAAATCTGCTAGTAGCTTACACTCATCCAAATAATATGATGTTAAATATTGTTCTAAGGACATTGCCCGCTTCTTAGTAACTAATTTATATATACTTTCTCTATACTCTATATCAACCTCGGAAATTTCTTTAAGCAATGATGAAAGTTTTAAGCGGATGGATTCTTCTTGCTTAACTAGAGCATTGAGGAATGATTGGTAATAAGCATTCTTAGTCAGGTGTTCTCCCTTGTCGGCATAAGTAGTATCAAATATTTTTTTCGCGTAAATGCGTGCCCCTTACCATAAATGAGATATGATGGTTTTATCTTTTTTCGAACCATCATGTTGGCTTTTGATATACCACCTAATCCACTTTTCAGCCGATTTCTGCGCTAAGGCATCTCTTATTTTTGATACCTCATCTTCGTCCATTTCGTCTTCATCATCTTCGTCTTCGTCCAGATCGTCTCCATCCACCCCACCATCATCCGCTTTACTATCACCTGCTTTATTACCATCTTTTAACTTTTTTAAGGCCCCCAGCACAATTTCAGATGATGGCTGGTGTCTATCATCATAGTTTATAAATCGCGCACAGAGGCAAACAACGGTTTTCAGATAATAACTGATATCGATCTTTTTACCTAATCGCCTCACTACCTCTGGATACTCCATTTTATCTCCTACCCTCTGCGACAAATCATTCTCAACTACAATATACTCAAAGCGTTCGCCTGGTTCTGGGATTTCATAAAGATAAGGCTCGGGTGTTAGGCCCTTTTTTATAAGCCGTTTGGCATCCGCTTCTTCACGGGTGTGTCTATCTCGCATTCGTGAAATGAAACGCTGGACACTCTTGTTATTTTTATCGGGCTTCCACACAGCAGTTTTAATCACTCCATTAAGATCTATATGCAAAATATCATTTATGGTCTCTTTAAGCACGTCCTCCACAATCCGATGCAAGGTGCGAGTATTATCATTATCCAGCCTCATAGATTCATCCATGACCTTCTTACCCACCTCACGAAAGTGTTTAGACTGTCCCCGCTTTACAATCTCAACCCCTCGAATGAAAAGCTTATTATTAAAGTTGGGCTTACTTGTATGTGGGATGCCGTAGTATTTTTTCTTTCCAGTAAATACTACCGGAAATAAGACTTCCTCATATGCCATTTTGAGATAAGGGGATCCGTTATCTTCCCTGAGAAAGTCATTAACTTCGCCTCGGAGTTTGCTCATTGCCTCCATAGATATTCACACCATCCCCTCCCAGTACTTTTCCTTCGATATCTTTTCTGAAATGTATTTCTCATCACACTCCCGGAAATATTCTTCTGGACAAACAAGGTATAATGAATCAGTGTCCCCATATTTTACACAGAACCCTTTACTTCTGACAAGATCGGCAATAAGCTTGATATTCCGCTGGCCAGCTGATGTTACCCCGCCTGCTAATGCTCGCAAGAAGAAAGGAGATCCACTATTCCCGGCTTCACCGTAAAACGTATTCATATACACTTTTAAAGTGAGTTGTTTTGCGTCTAGACAGGCGACAATAAAGGAAACTGAAGAGTATTCAGATTTTAGAGCATCTGTAACGTCCTCGCCCCTTGCTTCCGCCAAACTAATCTCCTTTTCTAATTCTTCTTTTTTATCCTTTAATGGAGCAAGACGTCTTTTTAGTGAATTTCGTCTAATAAGCAACTCCTCTAATACTTTTGGATAAAGGCCTTTCATTTCGGCTTGGTTTTCATGCTCTATAGACCATGTGAGAACATCGCGACCATTGAATTGGAAATTAATTTCATGAAGCTTTTTACCACTCTCCTTTAAAGATTCGGCAAACACTCGAGATAAAATGATTTTATCAGGTGAGAGATTGTATGTCATGATAAGGCTTGGATACAATGATACAAAGTCTAAGCCGGTTACAGGTCGTCTATTTTCGAGACCCTTTACCGGTGGGAAAACATAGGCTCCAGGGTACTTCCCTGTTTCCGTTTGTTCACATGGAATAGTGCTAGTTAAAATCCATTCATGCCACGCACAGGCACTTAAAAGATTACGCACTTTCATTCCTAATGCAAAATAATGTGAATCATATAATGATATGAAGGCTACGGATGCCAACTCCCTATACTCGTTAATTGCATTAAGCTTTACCATTAACCGCTGACAGCTAATAGCATCAATAATACAATATTCGGCTACTTCGCGCATCTGCTCGGCCGTTGTAGCATTGGTTTCTTTTAATGCCCTTACATAATACTTAAACATACGATGGAAAGGCATATCCAGCTTGTTATCGAGTTCACACTCCTTTAGGTAATATGCTAAACTGCTCTTTTCGGCCTTAGGATAGAATTTCATAAAACATGGTCGGACATCAATAGCTACGCACCCGGGGATTTTAAGATGCTTCGAATGGAAATCCCTATCATTAACTTTTATCTTATTATACTGATATTGCCATTTTGTAATTTTTTCGAGGCTTGAAGGCTTTAATGACATTTGATTAAACATCCATTCGAAAATCCCTAGCTTTTTCGCTTTCTCTACAATAAATCTCCAGTCATATTGTGAATCGTTAAAACCTATTTGTATATCCGGGGCTAGTAGTTTACAACACAAGGCGAAGGCTTTTAACAGATTTACTTGATTCCCACATATAATTGTGGTCCAGCGAGGGTCTGGGGCGGTTTCAACATCAACAAGACAGATCCGTTTTAATGGATTAGGGTCATCTTTCCAATGAACTGACATGCCGATCATAAATACGTTAGATTCATCGCTCTGAGCAGTAGGGAATTTACCTAGTCCGAGCGAACTATATGTCTCTATGTCCCATGTGAGAACAAGAGTTCGATCCCGTGAAAGAGCTAAGGAGAATAATGGATTATTATAATCGTCCTCACTTGTTGGATTGTAATTATTCACAGAAACTTGGAAGAGATAAGTACCCCCTTGAATATATTCGTGGAAATAATTACTTAACGTTGCCCAACTTGAAAGAGGTAATCTTTTTTCACGGGCTACTTTGCGGTAATAATATATTGGGGTTAGATCATCAGAAGCTGTACGGATACCGACTTCACGAACTGCCTTTAACGCATTATACCGGTCAAATTGATTCCAAGTAATAACACGTATATATGATTTTTTCTCTGTATAATATCCTTGAAGTGGGAAAGCACTAATATTCTCGATCCCAAATTTTGATGTACCTTTGAGAGTATTGGATAATATATTTACTAATCTGGTCTTAAATGTAGATAGTGGCATATCTTCAGGTACTTCGACATCAAAGAAGAGCTTAATGCCTGTAATTTTTACGACTGCTTTTTGTCCATTAATCAAAGTACCAGTAATACGCAAAATATAGGAGGAGATACCATTTACATATTCGGAGGTATCATCACTAACTTCAGTAGGCATAAAATGTATGGGTTGCTTGCCAGATAGGCTTTGTTGAAGTATAGTGGTCATCCCATTATCGAATTCTGCCACAATATCATTACGTGATGGGATACCAACTAAGGGGCCGGCGCCGTTGAAGTAAACGAGAGGGCCGGAGCGATCGGTTTGGTCGAAAATAGTTGAGGTATGCATGGTGTTAGTTCGACAAGTTATACTATCTCTATAAAATTCGGAAATGTTTAATTTATTTTTTCGGTAGATGCAAAAAGAAACGATAGCGAACTTATTAAACGAATCGAAAAAGAAGAGCAACAGGATATACATCAAAAGGATAAGTCTTCTTCGTAATCATTATATAAAATATTGGAAGAAGACTTATCCTTCTTAGATATATACTTGGGTATGATATAGCCTCCGCGAAAGACTTATCTTTCCTAGACATGTACTCGGGTATGATATGAAGGCTTCTTCGGAAATATTGGCAGAAGCCTCCATCTTCTAGATATGTATTCGGGT